ACCGTTGGTGAACTCCAGCCTGACCGTTGCCGTTGCTTTCGAGTTCGACGTCGCGGTCGCGGTCGGTACCGACCTGGAGAACCTCACCGTAACCACCGACGGCTCTGATCCAGAGCCGAAGCACCTGGTGGCTATTCTGGTGGAATTCGTCGACACAAAACCGCGGGACAAGTCGTCTGTAAACAAAACGGTTCATCACAAGCGAAACAAGCTGGTGCACCAGAATGTTTGCCGCGGAATGCTTGCCGCGCCCACCAGAGGCATTTCTGAGGTTGACCCACAGCATGTATGCTAAAAATCTTTAGTGAAACAATGGTTGCTGGAATCTCAGGGTTCCAGCCTGACCAAATTCCCAATACTTTCAGGTCCCTGCTGGAACCTTGAAACCGCTTGGATCCAGCGACTGGCCCGGAACCCACACCAGCCACACCGGTCATTAGCGGCAACGCATGGGCAGCAGGCCTTCCCTCCTTGACCAGGGTCTTCACCAAGGCTCTCGTCGCCGCGTCCTGCTGCCGCCACCAGCGAACGAAGAAGGCCTCGGCCCCGTTCCGTTGCGACGGCGGGACGTCGCGGCGCATGTCCCGACCAGACACCAAAACGAACCTCAGCGGCCGTGAACAAAGGAAACGGCCTCCAACGCCGGTCGTCGCGTTTTTGGTCGAGACGCAATGCCCTGACCAAATGGCGCTGAATCCCGGTGATCAGGTGAACATACTTCAAAATGTGAATATGGGTGTGCACCATTTACCCAGGTCATTCACTATAGGCACAGTGACTAGTGACGATCTAAGCGAAAGATGCTGGACATATACTCTCAAAAACTGTGCCATCCATTGTGCAGGTTGTTTGCACAACATAGAGCTTGAAATTGAAACTTCTGGACGGTCTGGTGGGCATGCACAAGAAGGGATGCCATCTGTAGATTCCAGGCTTCCTTGGTCATTCCAACCTTGCCTACCAACTCTTCGCATTTCACCGCCCTCTGTGGATGTTGATTCTAATTCAACATGCCAAGACGACCGCGGTGTTGATATTCAGCGGCCAAGTCGATCAACAAATCGGAAAGGTCGACCCTTTCATCTTTCGCTTTTTTTGGTCGGCCGGAACGAAAGACACCAAGATGGAGGCCGTTTGGTGGTTAGGCGGCCTCCCCGAAGGGAAAGGAAAGCTCGTCCCTTTAGGAGGGTTTTGGAAGAAAACCGCCCTTGTGCCACAACTGCCCTTGTGTCATGACCTACTATCAGAGGTTGGAGGCCATCGCTTTTAGGTTGGAGACCATTGCTTTTAGTTTGCGGCCGGGGCTCCCTGAGCCAGGATTGCTTGCCAGACAGCGTAGCAAGACCCCCCCAACAACATGTCTTTTTCCGGGCCTGCTCCACATAGGTGAAGGTGCGGTTCCGGTTCATCGCCAAGCTTTGGACGACTGTGTCCAAAATCATGTGGACATACGCATGCCTCGGTGCAGTGCAGCCACACAGCACGGACTCCGGCAACGTTGGAGTTCACATGTCTCACATGACACCTATGTTGCGGACACCAAGGACAGTGGAGAGTCTTGCTGAGAACAAAGTTCGACAAGTCGCCAACTCCAATGGAATAGCAACGCCTGCTGGAAGGTCACCTCTGCCAATCTGTGTTGCAACCAAGGATCTGAATCGAGTTGTTCTGCCCGGAGTAGTACTCATCGACCGTCTTTAACCAACCGACATCATCATGTGTGTGACATACAATATGCACCTCAGGCCGAGGCATCACGCTCAGAATTTGGGGCCGGTCGCAGAGAGTTTGTCGCAGGGGGCTCTTCGGGCCCCTTTCCAGTTTCTCGGGCTTAGGAGCTGGAGCGACCGGAGCACACCTAATTCACGGTCCCGAAGCCGTGTCTTGAAACCGAGAACAAGGAGCAATGGATCCGGACTGCAAACAGCAGGTGTTTCAATCACCTTTAAACCCGAGAGTTGAGGAGCAAACAATGTACATCCTGAGAAAGAGAAAAATTATACCAGCGTAGACCCCAAACAGAGCAATGTTCAAAAATGAGATCTCCGAACAATATGGCCAGCAGTATTTCCTAGAGGAAGAAAACTATAGTCCACCATGTAGACGCACATACAAGATTCAAAGGAAAAGCATTAAAATTCTGCTTTTCATTGACTTTACAATGGGACGCCGTACAAGGGCTAAAACATGAAATTTATGGATCCAGGTTGTGACATAGGGCTAAGACATGTGGGAGACAAGTGTGAAATCATGCGGCCAGAGAACTCAGAGCATCCAGAGCTTACTGGGAGACAAGTGGGAGACAAGTGTGAAATCATGCGGCCAGAGCACTCAGAGCATCCAGAGCTTACTGGGAGACAAGTGGGAAACAAATGAGAGACAAGTATAAAATCATGCGGCCAGAGCACTAGAGCATCCAGAGCTTACTGGGAGACAAGTGGGAGACAAATGGGAGACAAGCATGAAATCATGCGGCCAAAGCACTGAGAGCATCCAGAGCTTACTGGGAGACAACTGGGAGACAAGTGGGAGACAAATGGGAGACAAGTATAAAATCATGCGTGAGAGCATCCAGAGCTTACTGGGAGACAAGTGGGAGACAAGTGGGAGACAAATGGGAGACAAGTATAAAATCATGCGGCCAACGCACTCAGAGCATCCAGAGCTTACTGGGAGACAAATGGGACACAAGTATCAAATCATGCGGCCAGAGCACTCAGAGCATCCAGAGCTTACTGGGAGACAAGTGGGAGACAAGTGTGAAATCATGCGGCCAAAGCACTCAGAGCATCCAGAGCTTACTGGGAGACAAGTGGGAAACAAATGGGACACAAGTATAAAATCATGCGGCCAGAGCACTCAGAGCATCCAGAGCTTACTGGGAGACAAGTGGGAGACAAGTGTGAAATCATGCGGCCAGAGCACTCAGAGCATCCAGAGCTTACTCGGAGACAAGTGGGAGACAAATGGGAGACAAGCCTGAAATCATGCGGCCAGAG